CTTTAGGGAAGGGTCGGAACTGACTAAAGAATTTGTACACACGAAAAACGAGAAATGATTCACTCGCCAGTCCCGGTGATTTCAATTCTTAGCAGCATTAGCCAGTGCAATTTTTTAGTGCCAGTATATAATTCTAAAAATGAGCATGAAGGGGCATTGCAGGACCAAATTCAGCATTTTTCACAGCTATTTATATCCTGATGCTAATATTAATGTAAATTGAGGGACAAAAATAATGCATTATAAATTCTTACTTATTTGCTGAAAGCATGGGTAATTTCAGTATAAATATAATCTACAATACTCAAAGTTTGTAATGTAGGTGCAAAAATTCCGGAAATAAGCTTTACTGTGGTATGCGAGAGTCTTTTGTTTGAAAAGTTTAGTTTTGAACAAGGGTCAGAACTGACATTTTGAGGTGATTTTTGCAATTTTCTTTGTGAAAGGGACAAAAAATCGGTTACACGTGTAAGTAATAAAAAGTTCGTAACATTTAACATGTCTCAGCACTGCAAGCATAATTAATTTTAGCTTCAAAACATCGTACGAGCTCTAGACAAGATTTAAACCAGTTACGGCGAAATCAACCGTATACAAGTTAATGTAGAATATACGATTAGATGGTTACTTCGCTTAGAAAATAATTTCTCCAGATACGTATTTCATGACATTTTTGTTATAAATGTAATTTACAGTGCAATTTTCACCACAAATATAACTATTTATGTTTAGAATGACATCACAAACCACTTCGATAACCACGCTCCATGATGTATACAGAGCGAGGATGTGTGAGGTATTGGGATTCCGAAGGTCACGTGACTCTCGTGGTATACATAGTCACTTGGGGGAAAAATAACACAGGCCTTATGGGTGTAATTCTATTTTTATTTTTTTTACACGTTTAACGATTGTAAAACAATAAAAGCCTTTCAATAACGCATTTTTGAGGATATGACAATACCTTAGCTATTTTTTCTCAACTTACAAATTCATCTAACCATAAAGATACCAAAATTTTCCCTATTTTAGTGAGGTACTTTCACCCTGCAACTGGCATCAACGTTAAATTACTTGATTTGGTGAGTTTGCCTGGTGAAACCGCAGCTATTATTTATGATGCCTTAATTAACATTTTTGAAAAACGCAATCTGAAGGAGAAAGTTGTTGTGTTTCGCGCTGATAACACCAATACAAATTTTGGTGGTGTTAAACGCGCAGGTCCATGTAATGTTTATAAAAAACTTCAGGAGGTTTTTAAAAAAAAATAGTTGGTATAGGCTGTGCAGCACACATTGCACAATAATGCTATTCAAACAGCAGCAGATTTATTACCAGTGGACGTAGAGCATATAGTTGTCAAAATTTATTCATTCTTTTAAATTTACACTGTGCGCGTAGAAAACTTGAAAACTTTTTGTAATGAAGCAGAGATGCAATACAAACGAATTTTAGGATATAGTAATACACGATGGCTGGCGCTTGCACCTGCAGTTGAAAGAATCCTTCAAATGTTCTTGCCATTGAAATCATATTTTTCATCGCAAGACAAGTGCCCTGCTGCTCTACATACTTTTTCTCTAATGAATCTTCAGAAATATGGCTCAAATTCATCCACGTGCAAACATTAGTATTTAACGATTCTATTTTTAAAAATGAAAGGGAATAAAGTTAGTTTTACAGAAGTTTTATATTTATTGGAAGATTTAAAAAACAAATACTGAAGCCGATTGGAAAATAATTATGTTCCGCTGACAATAAGAAATTATCTATCTAAGCTTGAAGAGAGTGGTCAAATCAAGAGAGACTATTTTATTGAACATATTCGCAAATTTTATTACACTTGCATTCAGTACTTAGAAAAGTACAGTCGTCAATAAAATGATTTTAAAACGTGCACTTGGATCCAATTGAAACAAAAACCAAACTGAGATGATGTGCAGCAGACGTATCAATACTTATTGGAGCAGATTCCGACAGCTGCTACAACTGTAAACGAAGATAGCTTATTTGACGAAGTAAGTTACGTTTCCAACTATGTAGATGACAATGTTTCACAACAATGGGACAAGAACAAAGCAATATAGAAGAACGATGGATGGAGGTATTCAAAAATTGTAAAGAACGTGAAACACCATTTAAAAATTGTCTGGCAATCGTCCAGTACCTTCTATGTTTATCAGGGACAAACGCATCCACGGAAAGAGTATTTTTATGGATGAATGCTTTTTGGACCTCAGAAAAATCATCTTTACAAATTGAAACGTTACATGCAATGCTAGAAATTAAATTTAATATGGGCACTTGTGAGAACTTTTATAACATTTTCGTCTTCGGACCACCTGTCTTTCTCACATCGTAGAACGTTATTTTGTAATAAAACGTTTTAACTGCATGAACTGTGACGTTATTCTTAATATTCCACGAATTTCCGCCGTTATTTCTTCTATTATCGTCATGCCCTTATTGGGCTTTTGCATGCAAATACGATAAGAGCGAGAAATAAGGAAAAAATAGAAATAAGAGCAAGAAATAAACAAAAAAACAAAAATAAAAAGAGTAACAGCGGGAATAAGCAGAATAACATTGATGCGTTATGCTTTTTTTTTAAATATCAAGCTGTTAACCCCGACTTGTGTATTAAAAAACGTATAGTGCACGGATACGTTGTTTCGCTTTTTCCCCCTATTATTTTTCTTATTCCTGTTATTTTCTTATTCCTTGATCTCACTTTAGTTATTTCCTTATTCTTTGTTCTTATAACATTTCCGTGCTAAGGCTTATCCCTCGCTCTTTTCATAGGTGTCTAAAAAATATAGACTGCTCGTTCCTATGTACAGGAACAGCACTGAAGACTGAAGCACGAGTAGAAAAAGACCATAGAAATTGAGATTTAATAATAGATAGCGCATTCTGTGCCACCACTTGTGATTGGCTGGTCTTTTCCTCAACCCTAGACCCCTAGTTTCCTGGCCATCACATATTTGCATCACATTAGCGGCGTAGAGTAGGTATCTCATCAACTCGATTAAGCCGTGAATTAGCAATTTGAAGCGCAAATTGGGTTTTTTATATTATGTCTATTTAATGACGCTGATTACGAAAAAAATAATAAAAATATTTCTAACTAATGGTTGAATGTGAAAATCGTGTCAGAAGTTTCTCACGTCCATACCTCGTAAGCGGTAGCAGATACGATAAAAATAAAAATACCAGCGTATAAGGTGGAAAAGTGCCTATCGAAATATTTGTATAGCATTTTTTGCACTTGCCGTAAGAGTAAGTAAAAAGGAGAGATTCGTCAGCCACGAACAGCGAGCAGTAGAGCGGCGCAGCCAAGCTACAATAGTACAGCTATGACCCCTCTCCCTGCCATCTTATGCATGGTGGGGTATGGGGTATGTATATAAGAAGAGTGGGGAGAGCTAGGAGAGAAGTGAAATAAATAAGCATATGCTGGATCGGATTTTTGGTTTAATTTTGATAAAAAATTTTTTTGGAGAAAAAAAAAGTCGCTGAGAAATAAACTTTTTTAACCAGAGATGAGTAGAGAGATTGCTAACGCCAATGCTACAATGCAAGGCGACTATTTGGCACTGATAGGGTCGACCTGCCGTGGATAGCCGTCAAACTAGGCGCACGTTTTTTGAGAGTGCGAGACTCGTATCGAATAGCGTGTGCCTACGAGAAAAGGAGTGGATTTGCGTAAAAATAAGCTTACAGGCACACATTTTAGAGGCACGTGAAAGGAGTAGACCGAATGTGGGACTACGAGGAGAGGAGAGTAGTGGAAATGTCGATTGTAGCTATATTGCTGAGAGCACAGCCAAATAAACACGATCTAAATGATTTAATCAGAGAGCTTGGATTGCCAAAAGATGGAGCAGAATAACTAGCTTCGAGACTGAATGAAAGGAATATGCAATCCGAAGACACATGAAATACATTTTATCATAACTGTGAAGAAACGTTCCGGAAGTACTTCAGCAGGGAAGAAGACTTGGTGTACTGTAACGATGTTTATGGCCTAATGAATAAAGTAAAAGAAAATATATACAAAGCCAACGATTGGAGATTGTTCATGGATTCCTCGGAACGAAGCCTCAAAACAGTGATGTTACATAATATAAATATATATATGCTCCAGTATCAATAGAAAACAATAAACCCATTCAGTAATACTCAAAGAAAACTATAAAAATATCAAAATAGTTTTGGAGAAAAAAATTTCTTTTGCATGTTTGTGTGACTAGCTGACGTATAATCCACCACGGTACGGCCAGCTGACTTTTTTATCTTTGAATAATGGTGTTAACTATCACTTAATAAATTTTTAGTTGGGAGGAAATGATTAGGAACAACTTTTTTTTTACGTCATTGAGAGGCTGTCGCTGCCCCACCCACCTACGTCCACGAAGCGGCAGCTGACCATCACCATGATATTTAATACAACTCTCTGAAGCATTTCACGAGTTATAGCTTGAAAGGAAAAGACTGACAAAATATACTATCTGGCTCACGGACTATAAGCTGACACAACGAACATTTGTTTTTGCGCAATTTTTTTCTTTTCACGAGTCCAATTATCATTGGTTTGTTGTTGTTTTTTAACGAAAATAATCGTGCACTTTCTTCGTCTCTGAAAAAACTAAAACCATAAAATGTTTCATCAGTCATAATCAGCGACTCTTTTTAGTTTCATTATTAATTCACTGTCACGAATAGTATATTACGCACTTAATGAGCGAGGTTAAGAATGTCGCAGATTTCAAGTGAATAAACGGATAACGTGAAATCTAGGACATTTTTTAACCTCTGAAACGTGGTGCGTATACTATTTTGCTGCATACCCTCGCCAAAAGGGCTGTTCATCTGTTTTGGAGCAGGTCAGATATGAAGCACTTTCGGCGGGGGTATGCAGAAAAACTAAAATGATAACCATCATCATTATAATCGCTAACATCAATTAAGGTATCGGCTGGTCCACTGTACTAATCTGTTTAACTACCAACTAAAACTAGATACTCACCCTTACTTTCTCCATTCGCATCATTATTACCACCACCATAATCATTATCTTTATTTTTCTTTCCTTTGTTTTTAATTTTATTTGCGTGATTGTCACCATTACGACCACTAACACTACTATCGATTGCAATCCTTTTTTTCAAAGGAAGCTCATGATCCAATCTAGAGTACCTATATTTCAATGGAATACAGATTTTTGATAAGCCACCAACTGAAATAAAAGGTTCACGATCATTTTCTTTTTTTATAATTGTATCGTTATCATTACTATCATCATTATAGTTTTTNATCAAAGTCAGTCAACCTGGTTTTACCACCTACCTCAGGCTATTTGGTGCAAGCTTAGGCCTATAAATATAATAAAATACACAACGCTACTTCTATCCAACGTAACAGTATGCTAATTTTCACTTTTGATATTTTAATTTAGTAACTTTCTGTATTAATATTACCCATCGAAATTCTTCTGAGGTGAGCCCTTTATATAATCTAATTTAAACTCTTTATATTTAGGCAGAACATAAATTTTTGGTTTCTCGTGTATTGAGAAAATTTGCGGTTTGCTAGGTGCTTAGAGAACACTAGTGATCTTATACTGAGTGATCAGCTAATGTTTATTTCAGATAACCAGATGATTTTGGAATAAATAAATCATCAACTGATTAGCATCAACATGAGCTGAGTCTAATCATCCGTTGTAAAGATCACTAAACACAGGAAGCGACGTTACATTAAAAAAAATTCTTGCTTATGTAGATAAGTCAATATTTCAAAATAATCTGGTTCATTTGAAATGAGCATGGGCTGATCACTCAGTATAAGATTACTAGAGAACACTCGTATCCGATACGAATACTTTTTGTTCTGCCATTGATACCACACAAGGCATTCCAAGTATGTAAAAAAAACAAAAAAAAAAAAAAAAAAACGAGAACGAAAATCTTTCCGATAGCTCACTTGCATTATTTTTGAGGTTTAAGACATCCGAAGGTAGCAAATTATCTGCCTTCTCCAAAGGCCTTATTGATTTATTTAATTTATTCATTATTTATTAATTATTGATCCTTGTTTTTGGGTATCGATACCCGTTACAAAAGATAAAGCGACACACTGAGTAGCTGATCCTTTTTATCAATGCATTGTGGTATAAACATTGAGTACAGACACGAATTTCAAAAAACGAATAAATTATAATTAACTGAAAGTTATTATTGTTTGGGGTATAAACAAAGCAGTAATAAAATATGCAATTAAGAAGTACAATCGCTGTCATTCTATATGCAACAGTTATGCTAGTCTGATGAAATTAAAGAACGGAGCTTCAACGCACTGGATAAGAATTTGTATAAATTTTTTATGTTTTAGACTTCGTAGTTCTTTAGAACGTTCAGCAGGCTATTTGTATAAGAGAGGTGTTTTTTTATATTCTGGTGCATTGGGAAGGTAAACATGATATGGTATAGTGTTTCGACTGAGTTGAGGTTACAGAGTGTGCATGAATCTGTTCCGTTGATTTTGTGAAGAATACTGTGAACTGTGATTTAAATGCTTGATCTCTCCGCCAGCCGACAAGCGTCAAAGTGTCTTGTGAATGGCAGTGGAATCTGCATATTCAGATTATTCTCTTGAAATAACTCTAATAAATCATTAAAAAAACTGTGTAATGGTGAATAAGTAGAATTTTGAGCGCGCTTGGTGTCAGCTTCAAGACTGATTTTTGTTAGTTTGCTCATGATCAATGGGAGTGCAAGTTGGATTGTACTAGCGTCTAATTTTTATGTTAGGTAATCGTGGGTTATGTTCTGTAGTATGGAGTGTACTGATGTAAACCAGTTCGGTTTGAGTTTGTAGTCAGATTTTCTATCCAATTCCATTAGTCTTTGTAGTACTCTGCGAGGGTAACGTGTGGTGTCCATCTGTAGGACTTTACACCAGTAGTTCAGCGTTTTCAAGATTACCTGATTCGACAGCTTCGAACAACCTGTTTTCAGCCATAACAAGTACCCAAGAGTACTCATACGAAGTTGATAGTATCTTTTGAAGAAGGTTGTTTGGATTTGTTCAAGTTCTGGTAGATTAGAGCCTCAACTCCTGCTCCGTACATAACCGTAAAGTAACGACTGAAGAAAATAGCTGTTTAGCTGAGTTGAGTCCTTGGCTACGGCCTAAGTAGAGTATCTGCCATATGGTGCTCAAAGCTGATTTACCTTTAGCTGGTGCTTTGTTGCAGTTTTTCTTGTAAGAGCCAGTAGTAATAAAGGTAGTCTACCATCTTCAGAGAAGTGCCTCTGTACTTGATGGTTCTGCATTTTCGTGTACGTCTGGAGTTACTGATTTGGAGATTAACTGATTTGCCGGCGTGTACTTCTAGTTCTTTAGTTTCACAATACTTGGAAAGTGTGTCCATTTTGCTTTGCATATCGATTGAGTCCTTAAAAAAAAGCGTCAAGTCGTCAGCAAAAAGCAAGATATCCATAATAGAGCTGATGTTTATGTCGCCTTTTCGTTCAAAAAACGAAGTCATATCGTGCAGGAGCAAGGCGAATAGCAAAGGGCTCTGATCTCTTTTGAGGACTTTTTTGGTCGTATCTGTGCTTTCAATTGTCTAGCCGTTTTCTAGTCTGACCTCCATGTTTAACGACGTATAGACGTTGTAATAATTGTATGATTTTTCCACTCACTCCCATAGCAAAAAGCGAGTTCCACAAGATCGAGTGTACGGTTGAGTTAAAAGCTCGACGAAAGTCGATAAATGCTGCGAGTAGCTGGTCTCTGGGTTTATACAGCTCTAAACATACTCTAGCTTAAAGAGTAAAAATATTGTCGTCGCAGCTTCTACCGCTTCTAAATCTAGAATGACATTCTGGAAGTATATTGTTTTTTCGCACTAGTCAGACAGTCAGGCAGAAATTATTGAAGTAAATATTTTAGTAATAGCATTAGTAAGAGATACCACAATGTAGTTGGCCGAGTCAAGTTGGTCGCCTTTTTTGTATAAGAGAATTACCAGGCTTGAGCACCAGCTTTTTGGTACTTTTTCGTTTGCAAGGGCTATGTTAAAGAAGTTTGTAAGGTGCAAAGCCAACACGCGGGTGGATTTTTGTGAAAAGCATTGGGAATACTATCAGGTCCTGGAGATTTGTCTTTTTTCAGCTTTATGAATGTTCGTATTACTTCGTCGAGTTTTATCTCCCTATCCAGTACAAGGTTACCACTGTCAACGTAAAGTGTTTTTGAAAGAGTCCTATCTGGGTAGACGTGTAAGTAAAATTCTTTTTTTCATTCGAAAAAAGTAAACAGGGTGTGTACTTCCTCGCTTGGAGTTTGCTGACAACAGACAAAAATAGGGCTAGGATTGTTAGCGTTACTTAGAACACATCTTTAGGAGCTGTAATAATCCCCTTTCTTAGTTTTCTGAAGTTTTCTGTAGGCATTTCTGGCCTCTATGAAAGAGTTTCTTAGCAGTGTCTCGCCTTGCGCCACCCATCTTTTTTGTAGGCGTCGCTAGTTTCGGTTGGCCTCTTGACAGTCCTTGTCATAACGAGGTTTTTCTCTGCGCTTAATGCCTGAGTTTGATAGCTTGGCAGCCTGTTCCATGTTTAATTTCTTGGCAGTGGAACTAACCATTTCTGTGAGATTGTCGTTCTTCAAGGACAGCTCTTCGTCTATGGGTGGAGGTATGTTAGCCATGCGTTCACAGAATTCAGTACTCAAGGAGTCATCTCACTTGAGCTTTAGCAATTTGTAGTGTGATCAAAACAACTGTGGGCAGTATGAAATAACCGAGTTTGTTGTGAATTTGATAGGCAGATGATTGGATTGTCCCTCATTTAACATGTCAAGGTCGCTGAGAGAATAGAGTTCTGCATCATTTGTCCATATTAGGTCGATAACGCTCGTTCCATTATGACCAATGTAGGTAGGGGCGCCGTGAGGATCGGATCTGCTACTTCCATTTGATAACGTTTGTCCCAAGCTTTCCGTTTCTTTGGTAAGAGGTCATCCCTGTTTAGTCTCAGTATCGTTTTTTGAGAGCCTCAATTTAAAAGCAGATATGTATCCAACTGGTTTAGTAGACCCAGACGAGCGTGAAAGTCACCCTTCACCAATATAATGCCGTTAAAGCTATTGAGTTTTATTTTTATGAACGAAGTAAGATCTTCCAGGCTGGCTTCGAAGCTGTTGTTTCAATCTGGTTTCAGATAAACACTAATAACAAGAAGTTTATTGCATTATATCGTGCACTCTATTGCTATAAACGTTTGAGCAGATGTAGATATTGCAGACGATACTAGGTGGTGATTGCTTGCAAACGAACACAGACCACCGCTGGTCCTGCTTAGTGTTGTGATTCTTTGGGCCGGGCTGTTGAAGATGGTAGATTTGGGCAGGAATGAGGAGGCAACCAATATATTTTCGCATACCTAAGTTTCCAAAATGTTAATGAGGGCACAGTTGTGAAGGTGCGATAATTCGTCATTAGTTAGGTTGAAAACATTAGAGTACCCGTGAGTGTTCCAAAATATAAAAGAGTAGTGTCCGGTTAAAGGAGTAGAGATACTACTGGACAGACATGGCTCATTGTCGTTTCACGTAGGGGGGATGGTAAGACTAGAAGAGGGACGACGTCGAGGCTAGCTAATTAAACGGTTTTCTATAGCAGGTGTAGGATCGTCCGAAACTATGTTTAGTGCATGTCTTTTGGAGTCGTACGATTTTTTGGGAGGTACAGCTTTAAGCTGTTTGGCCTTCACGAAAGCGCTGAAAGGGAGCGTTATCTATAGGGCTGTGTCCTTTCTTTCATACTTTGACTTAGCGGTCAACGTAGAACTTTAAACGGCCAACTTATACATTTTTTTCTTTACTTCTTTTTTCTGCGGAAAAATCGTCGAACTTTTTCTTAGCCATACGTTTTTTCCTATTGAGTACGCCACAAAGTGATAGGATGCTGCCAGTATTTTAATCCTTCCTCAACAGTTTATACAGTGAGTTTATCTAATGAATAACATAAGCACTAAATATCCTTTTATACAAATTGACGATTTTTCATTTTAACTGTTAATCTGTTTAATGAAAATTGTGCTTATTGTGACCCCTTCCCAAAATAAACACATCGTTAAAATAAATGATTGTTCCTTCTGTATAGCAAAAAATTATTTTAATTTCGTTTTAGAAAAACACTGGGGCAGATACTACAGCATAAGGAAGCCTATTGTATTTATACAATCTTTTAGGGTCGTTTTTTTTAGTTTTTCGATTCATCATCTAGCTTGACTTGTTATTATTTACGTACTAGATCTGGCTATTAAAAAAATCGTTCCCTCTATTTATGATATTAAATCTGCTACTTTCAGGATGGGGTAAAGTTTAATTATTAAATAAGGATACAATGAAATTTTATAACCTCTGCATAAATAAAACTGACCATTGGAATTCAGTGCGGTTACTACTGATATCGTCCACTCGGTACTTATTACTGGTTCAATAACTTTTTCCACTTTACAACTGATATTTTTAGAAAACACAGAATCAAATTTACCGATTTCATCCTACATAGCCGTTACTTTCTTTAAAAAATTGATATTTGTAGTTTCGACGGTTCTGATTTTCTTTAACGATACCAATCCAACCATTTACGACCTATTGTACGAGTCTTGGATTTTCCATCCGAGTTTACGTTTGTTCTTTGAGTATTTAGTATTAACATGTACGATGCCTAATAAAAATAAGTATACGCTGGGCTCCATTTTGAAAACACGATTTCTTGTTGCAATGATGGTCTTCTCTTTTGAGTACCTCAGACAAATTTGTAGTTAGTTTGTCTGTTATATGTAAATCCTAGTATTCAAACAAACTCCAATTTCAACTTTTTTTTCCTATGTAGCCACATTTTGTTGATATTTATTTTATTTAATTAAGGAACTTTTCTAATTTTTTTTTTTTTTTTCAAGATTGTAGATTTTTAATCTCGATTTTATCTAATATGAGGCGTGCTTTTTATTTGGACTCATACAATGGACATAAAAAAAACCTAAGCTGTTCGACTTATTGAAATTACTGCTGGTTCAAATAATAGGTTAACACTGTAGCACGTTTTGCAAACTTTTCAAGAAGCTTGTCCTACAATTTTTTAATAACCATTAACTATTTTAAGTACAATCGTATAACCATACATAAAATTATTCTATAGTAAGAACATCATTAGTCAGAAATTTATGGATTAATTGATTGATATTACGCTAAGTATTCATTTTAACTTACCTTCAACAGACTTGAGTAAAATTTCATCTTTTGAAACATTAGCAACAAAATTTTTATCATCAGGTTCACTGTTAGCATTGTCATTAGTTTCCACGATATTCATTTGCTTATGTGAGGTAACTACACGTTTATCTACTATGCAATCAATCATACTAAACTCATCCTTCATGCAGAACGTCGAGTCAACTGACAAAAGTTCAACATTTTTCTGCAATTTAAAAATATTTATGAAATTTCACGAAACTAAACATTTAAAGCCGTTATAAAAATTTTTTTTCAATTAATAAAACATAAAAATAAATAAATTTCGNTTTTAACATACAAACACTTGGGCAGTATTCCGACTTATATTTAAAGACAGCCTGTAATACTGACTTCTTGTAAGGTATTTACCACCACCCCAAGTCATCTCTTTCTCTTTTTCACACACATACACACGTGCTTCCCACCCCTATATAATCAACTTTCTACAGAGACTAAAATTTGAAGTTGCCATCGCTTGGATAAAATAAAACACACTGCTCCGAAATGAAAGAGCTATCGAAGCCTAAATATTATTACACTTGAGGTTTTGAAAAAATCAATTTTTCTGACACCCTGAATAGTTCTTATTATAAGTTTCATTACTTTTTCTGCATTTTAAAGAAATAATTGAACCTCTATAAATATTGCAATTAGATTATTTCCACCGCAAATACACAAAATTTTTTTTGACAATCGAAATTTCGTAATAACATCTTCCAAGTTCTTTAATATTTTCAAGTTTTAAGGTTGACAATTAAAATGACTACTTCAAACCTTAAAGGCTTACTCTAAAAAACTTTCGAATGAAGCTTACCTGACTAAGTGAGGTTTTTAACAAAACTGTAAACTGCGTACTTTTTGTTTGGCAGTGCTTCCTGCTTATTTAAGAACCTTTTTTTTTTATTGTTCAGGGCACGTAACTTGCCCTGAATTATAAACAGTCCACATATTACCTAGATAGGGCAGCAGATTGTTCTAAGTAGAGTTTAACTTTCCGAAGCAGCTGCAACGGGAAGCAATATAATAGCTGATAAGTGCGTCTTCATGAGTACGCATATTTCAACATTGAATTTGGTGGACAATACATTTTTTTTATGTGCTGTGTTTTATGTACTATAAAAATATGTATTTTTTCTTGAAATGCATTATTTCATGCATTTACGTGATCTATTTTTAGGTAAGTGTTGAGATAAATAAGACTTCAATACCTTGACTAACTAAAAAATCTGTTATTGCATCACAAAGCCACTTTTCTCTTTCATGCACATAAAGAATGTCATACTGTTGATTGGTAACAAATTTAAAAGTTAACACAGGTATCTCACTGAGAGCTTGTTATAGTTGAGATCCCGCATAGTCATTTTTCATTTTTATAATTCAATAATTATGAACTTTTTTCTAGTCTATTATTTCTCGTATAATGACTCCATTCATCATAGGCCGAAATAAAATCCAAGAGAGATGCATAAAGTATTGTTACGACGGAGACGCATGCTCGATTTCCAAATGCCTTTTTTCTTTTTTCACTTACAAGGCCACTTAGCTGATAAGCCAACAATCTAAAACCGAAAGTAGTGGCTGATCGTTAAATATTTTATAAGCCCATGAGGCGTGATAATGTAATGCAACTAGAGCGATAACGATACTTTCCTCAAACTAACAAAGGTACTTATATAATTATATGTATGATATTTTTTTGTTATAATTTGGAGCAATAAATAAAATAACTGATAAGGAGTCAATATCTAATGATACTAAACAGGCATTAATAGAAATATGTAATAACATTTGGAAAAATAGTCTCAAATCTCTGCCTAACATCAAAGTCAGTCAACCTGGTTTTACCACCTACCTCAGGCTATTTGGTGCAAGCTTAGGCCTATAAATATAATAAAATACACAACGCTACTTCTATCCAACGTAACAGTATGCTAATTTTCACTTTTGATATTTTAATTTAGTAACTTTCTGTATTAATATTACCCATCGAAATTCTTCTGAGGTGAGCCCTTTATTATTCAGAAAATGAAGTAAAAAATGAATACTGACATATCGTGCTCTTAACAAATAAGTGTATACTCTCTAGTTCTATAAGATGTGGCACTAGTATAAAAAGTACTTCAGCAACAGCATCGAGTACGAGTAAACTAAGGGCATAGTTCCAGTATTTCTACCACTAGTACAGGATTTGTCCATACATAGCCAGATTTACGATAATGCGAGCCCAAAATTTCAGTGATACTCGATGCAAAAATAGTTTCCTTTCCCGAACTACGTTAGTTTCAATACTGGCGTACTTTTTATAGAACTGGAGTATTTCTATCTGCTAAGAGCAGGGTACATCTACACCTACCTTAAACTTTTTATTTTTCAAAAAAAGTTCTTTGTACTTTTTTTCCAAACTGCTGTCTGCAGTAAAAATTTTTTCTCCGATAGACTTTAATTCTTATCGAAGGATTTACAGCTTAAAACTGTAGTTTCAATTTTATAAGATGCTGACCCCAACAAACTGCCCTTGAACTGCACTTGACTGATGTCAGTCTTCGATTTATTGATTCCTTTAAGTTCAAGTAAAAGAAGATGTCCCTTTAATGCCACCTACAATAGAAGTAAAGGATACACCGCTACCATCTCCTAAATCATTGAGCGAGTGGATGGAGCTGTATAAGCAACCACCGCCACCTCCTCCATCATCAACACCACCATTACCACCAGCTCCGACACTACCATCACTATTTAAAAAATCACCGCCACTACCACTATCACCAACTCTACCACCAACATCATCGCATCAGCAGCAGCAGCAGCAGCAGAAGTCACCATTGTCAATTCAACTGCTGCCAGAGAATATTGAGGAACGGAAAGAAGATGTTAAAAAAGAACTGGATATGAGAGTCTAAATTTTTCTAAAGCAGCAGGAGTTAAAAATAAGGGCAGGTGAAATCATAAAAATGATGAAAGTTCGGTTGAAAATAATTAAAATTAATCGGAAAAAATTAGAAGAAAAAGAGAAGCGTCAAGCTGCCCAGCTGAAAAAAAGCTATTAAATCAAAAGAAAAAAAAAAGAAAAAGAGAAAATGAAGAAAATAAAGAAAAAAATATAAATGTAAAAAAAAAAGTTATAGTAGTTGAATAATAAACATTATATTTGTAATTTTGTAAGAATATAACTGTTTTATTAAATGTAATAAATATTGTTTAATTTTTTTTAATATTCAGTCTTTTATTGTAACATAATGTTAAACTTCTTTTTAGATAAGAAAAAAAACTTTTAAAATTAAAGTTTCACCGCAATTATTAATTAACTTTTTGTTTGATGTTAATACCTTTCTAATAACTATAATATTATCATACCTGTAATACTGACTTCTTGTAAGGTATTTACCACCACCCCAAGTCATCTCTTTCTCTTTTTCACACACATACACACGTGCTTCCCACCCCTATTTAAATATGTTTTTTGCTAAACTCTGAAGGTATTTAAAGGAGTTTACGTTGACAGAGCAGTTCATTTTAACCCAATGACTCGATTACTAAGCTTCCTCCTGCAAGAACTCATGGCTACTGTACAGCATTTCAAGGATTCGGCTACCTGCCTGTGGCAATCATACCAACAAGTTGTTGAAAGTAAAGTCAACGCTGCTCAAATTTGTAGTCTTGTAACATTGAAGGATGCTGATACTTTTAGTAAGAGTTGCAAGTTAACAACCTCTGAAAAACAAAAATTTCAGGCAGCTGTGGCTTTACTCAAAACTACTGTACAATTTCTTTATGACCATTTGGAAATAGTAGAGGCGGAGAGAATATTTATAGATGAACCTCAAGTTTTTGTGGCAGACAGTGAGCAAGAAGCGACAGCAGCAGTCAAGGCATTCGAAAATGAACCTGCAATTCTTATACCAGAAAGTATACAAAAAACAGGCCTTGCAATAAGCGTCCAAGGTAAAGGTGTGACAGAAACGGGCCCTGCAACAAGCATTCAAGATGAAGGTATGATAGAAGTGACAGCAGCTCTCGTTCTTCAGGATGATAGATCAGTAAATTTAAATGACGTAAATAGTGCATTTGAAAAACGCATTACGACAGCTTTGATCGTAAATTTAAAACACCTAGATCTGAAAAAGTATTTAAAAGACGCTAAACATCAGTTTGTAAAACGGATCCATTGATCTCTTAGTGAATATGAAGCGATAAAAGTAAATACAGTGTTGGCAGCTGAATATATAATAGTTGAAGATAATTTTGAAAATGTAGATTTAAAATACTTTAACACAAAATCACAAGCTATATTCCAGACAACAGACTTGAATGAGTGGTTTGATGTGAATGTACAACAGCCAATAGAAAAAAATGGGGATGATTTTAGTGACAAAGAATCAGGCTGGTCTTTGCTTTCAATTTTGAATTTAGTTGTGAATATTAATAAACTGAATCCTATGCGAGGTAGTTCTTTTATAGATTTGCCAGGCTACATAAAAAACAAAAATGCTTGTGTAAATGTAGTGAACAGAGACGTTCAGTGTTTTAAATGGACTATTCTGTCAGCAATACATCCAACAAAAAAAAATCCAAATCGGGTCTCGAACTATGTTTAGTACGAAAACGAGTTAAACTTGGATGGAATTGATTTTCCAGTTAACCCAAAGCAAATTAGAAAATTTAAAAACCAAAACAAAGTATCGGTGAATTTATATTTTTTTAAAAAGAGGAATGATGTATACAACGTTTTTCCCAGTCACTTAACAATAAATAAAAAAGAAGTCCATGTGAATCTTTTACTTCTTGAAAGCTTCTATGTAGATCATAAAGAAGATGATGATATGAATGAAGGTAATTTTCATTTAAACGAAGAATACAAATATTATTACGTTTGGATAAAAAATTTATCCCGCTTGGTATGTAAACTATTATCTAAACATGGACATGCAGTACATATAATATATGTGATTGTTGCTTTCACTATTTTTTGTCAAAACAAAAGTTAGCATGAAATCGATTGCAAAATTCTAAATAAGTGCAAAATTATACTGCCCAATAGAAATCAGAAAGATGATGTACTACAATTAAAAAGTTTTACGTATAAAAACAAAGTACCATTCGTTGTATATGCAGACTTTAAGTGTTTGCTACAACCTACGAAGAGCAGTTGTGCTTATCAAAGTCATAGAGCATTTAGTATTGGTT